TGTTCAGGCATTGTATATCAGTTCACAGGATTTATGATAGAGCCAGTCAAGGAAATCATGAAGCAGATTGTAGGTATGACAAAAAAAATCAGGGCGTAAAGGGTTTCAAGATAAGGATGTTGGAGAAATTCAAGAACAAATAGATACTACACCAGAGTAATTAATAGGAGATGACTTGCTGGAGATGGGTGCTTCCATGTTGTTCAAGGGGCAGCTGTGATAACAATCTCAAACCAACTATAGGTTGAGTACCCTTTATCCAAAATGCTTTGGAGCAGAAGTTTTTCAGATTCTGGAATATTTGCATTATACTTAACCATTTCGGCATACAAAATCCAAAATTCTGAAATTCAGAATGCTGTAGTGAGCATTTCCGTTAAGTTTCATGTTGGCACTGACAGTGTTTCATACTTTGGAGCATTTCAGATTTTGATTTCAAATGCTTAACTTATACAGAAAGTGGAAAAGGCAGGAATACCTCCAATTTCATTGTATGGCACCAGTATCATTCCTAATACCAAAACTAGACAGAAATACTACAAAACAAAACTACAGACCAGTTCCTCTCTTGAACGTAGACGCAAAAATTCTAAACAAAAATTTAGCAAATTATATTCAACAATATGTATACATTCATCATGACTAGGTGGTGTTTACTCCTGGAATGTAAGTTTCATTTAACATTCAAAAATTAATGTATTATTACCATATTAGCAGGCCAAAAAAGTTAAAACTGTATGATCTCAGTAGATGGAGAAAAGATATTTGCCAAAGTCCAACATCGATTCCTGATTTTAAAACTTTCCTCAAACTATTAGGGGCATCTATGAAAAACTGACAGCTACCATTATATTTAATGGTGAACAAGTAAATTCTTTTTTCTAACATTAGGAACAAGAGAAGAGTGTGTCCTCTGGTCACTTCTGTTTCTGCGTTGTTCTTTAGATTCTAGTCAGCACAGTAAATAAAAAGGAAAAGAAGTAAAAGGCATCCATTGTGGAAATGTAGAAGTAAGCTGCCTTCATTTACAGACATTATTTTCTGTAGAAATTTAGTGTAAAAATATGTTGGAATCTATGAAAAAGACCAACAGATTTAACAAGGTTCCATGATACAAGATCAATATAAAAGAATTAATTTTATTTCTATATATGAGTAATGAAGAATTGGTTTTTAAAAATGCATTTTCATCAAGCAGATGGTGGACACCTGTAGTCCCAGCTACTTGTGAGGCTGAGGTGGAAGATTATTTGAACCCAGGAGTTTGAGTCCAGCCTGGGCAACACAACAAGACCGCATCTCTAAGAAAGTTAAATTTTAAGAAATCCCATTTTCTATAGCATCAACAAATAGGAAATTCTTAACAGTAAATCTGACAAAATATGCAATATGCCCTATATAGTGAAAACTAACTATTGCTGAGAGAAATTAATCAACTAAGTAGGTAGAGAGACACATACACAGTGTGGAGTGGAAAACTTAATGTTATTAAGATGCCCATTCTCCCCAAGTGGATGTATACATTCAGCACAATCTCATTGTAAATCCCTGGTGTCTTTTATCATAGAGATGGACAAGCTGATCCTAAAGTTCATATGGGAGCGCAAAATATCGAGAAAAACCACAAGGATGTTAGAATAGAAAGGAAATGTGGGATGGTTAACACCACCTAATTTCAGACCTGTTTCAAAGCTTCAGAAATCAGGACAGGATTGTCTTTCCTTAATGGTGAATAGATGCGTGGTGTCCGCACATAGACCCACACATTTATGTACAACTGATTTTTGACAGATTTGGAAAGGTGATTCTGTGGAGAACGGACAACCTTTTCAGCAAATGATTCTAGACCAATTGTATGTCCGTATGCAAAAAAAAAAAAAAAATCATCTGTGCCTGACAGAATACACAGAATGAGTCAGAACCCTAAATACAAAGTATAAAACCATAAAACTTCTAGAAGAGAAAACAGGGAGATGTCTTTGTAACCCTGAAATAGGCAAAGATTCCTTAATATGATACTAGAGCACCATCTACCAAATGAAAAAATGATTGACTTCATCAAAATTACCATAAAGTGAGGGAAAATACATGCAAAAGGATTTTTATCTGGTATATGTAATGTTCTCTCAAAAGTCAATAATAGAAAACAACTCAGAAATACAGGCAAAAAACATGAACGGACACTTCACCAGAGACAATGTACATACGGCTGATAAGTACTGGAAAAGATGGTCAACATCATTACAATAGGGAAATGCAGATTAAAACTGTAAGGAGGCTGGGTGCTATGGCTCACACCTGTAATCTCAGCATTTTGGGAAGCCAGAGCAAGAGGATTGCTTGAGTCAATAAGCTTGATACCAGCCTGGGCAACATAGTGAGACCTCGTCTCTACAAAAATAAAAATAAAAAAATTAGTTGGGCATGGTGGTGCACCCCTGTAGTTCCTGCTATTCAGGAGGCTGAAGCAGGAGAATCACTTGAGTGAGCCCCAGAGGTCGAGGCTGCAGTGAGCTGTGTTTGCACCACTGTACTCCAATCTGGGAGACAGAGCAAGACCTTGTCTCGGAAAAAAACAAAAACAAACCAACAAAAAAAACCCCACAAAAACTCACCATACCAAGTGTTGGTGAGAATGTGGAGGAACTATTATAGTTGCACGTTGCTGGTGCAAATGTAAAATAGTATGCTCAGTTTGGAAAACACTTTGGCAGTCTCTTAAACAAAAGTCAGACACCTGTCAGGTGAGCCCATCTTTCTACTTGTTGTGTTTACCTCAGGAAAAAAGAAAGCATATGTCCATGCAAAGAATTGCACAGTCTTCATACAACTAAAGAATATTGTCAGCTTTTCAGTACAGCCAAAAACTGGACCACAATTCAGATGTCCCATCAACAGGTGAAAGGATATTGTGGGCCATCTCTTCAGTGGGATACTAGATAACATTAGAAAGGAGTTAACTGTTGAAACATGCACCAAGGTGGATTAATCTCAAGACAATCATGCTGAGTGAAAGAAGCCTACACACAGTGGTACATACTGTATCTATTCCATTTATATAAAATTCCTGAAGTTGTAAACTGCTGGAGCAAAAAGTAGATCATGGAGGGATGGGGTGGCGGGAGGAGGGAATTAGGAAGGGGCGCAAAGAAATTTGGGGATATGATCGATGCACTGTCTTAATTGTAGCTAGGTTTTCATAGGTCATGAAAACAAAAGTGTAGATTTCATATGCAACTTCAAACTGTAACTTTAAATCTTTGTCAAGGTGTAGATTTTAAATATATGCAGTCTATTTTACGTCAATTCTATCTCCATAAGGCGGTTTAAAACCAGCGTGATAGAGGGGACTCATAGATTAGGCTTCGAAGACAGAGCAGCCACACGCAGTGTGTGGATTTTATATCTCGATTCAAACAAGCCAGCTACTTAAAGACATTCTGTAAACACCTAGGGAACTTGTAGTATAATGTGAGTATTGGATAATGTTGATTAACCATTGTTACTTTTGTTAGGAAAGATAATGGCATCTAACAAAAGCCCGTATCTATTAGAGGTGCTTAGTGAGAATTTTATGGCTGAAATGATGGGATGCTTACGATATGCTTCAGAATCATCTAACACAATAAAGAGGGGAAACAGATAAAAACTAGAAGTAAAATTCTGGTAACTGAAGCCGGATGCTAGATACATAGGGAAGGCTTTATTAAATTATTCTCTGTTCTTTTGTGTATTTAAAACTTTCCCCTACATTTTTTCTTACATGTTTGTATGGGTTTTTAACATTCTTAAGGTCTCTGTTGTTTTGGTCCCCGCCTCGCTCCGTCAGGAGCAGCATCTGCCTTCCCCGCAGTGTAGGGCACGGATGTGTCTAGAGGGACCATCTCCCTGATGTGCCAGGGACAGTCTTGGTTTGTGCCCTGTGTCCCAGTGTGAATGTTCTAGGGCCCTCTGATTCACAAAGCTTTTCTAATTTGAACAGGAAAGCAGATGCTCTTCTTAGTTTTCTTCACATACCTGTTCTTTACACCTATTTATCTTTACCAGATTATGACTTTGCCTGGAACCTCCTCCTATCCCTACACCCGGAACCGCCTCCTAACCCTATGCCTTTCCCATCTCACCCCTTCCCAGTCTTAACCCAGACCTCGACTCCTCAAGACCTTCCTTGGTGTTGCTCCCCTGCCTCGCCCCACCCCTCCTAGTCACCTCCTCTGTGCTGCCACCTGGCCCTGGGCATGCTTGAGGGTTCACCATTAATGTAACTGTTCCCAGTTCAGTGAGCTTTTCAAGGGTAGGGATCACCATCTCTTCATCTTTGGGTTGTTGGTGCCAAGCAGTGCTAGCAGTATCCGGGAGAATGTTGCATAAATCCAGCCCTGGAGATTCTCTGACCTCACCCTTAGAGATAATGAAAACAGCTCAACCCTGGAAGGTAAAAACACCTTCCTAGGATGACAGAGGGTAGTGTAGCAGAGCCGGAAGTAGAGCTGTGACGCGTTCCTTCTCTTCACGCTTGATGATGTGTTAAGCAATTTCAAGGAGCAATCAGGGTTTCCCTTTTCTAAGACAGCATTTACACACCTCATGGTGATCATTCCTTGAGCAGACTCCAAAAGCCATTAGAGCAGCAGGAGTGGCTCTGGAGTGTACAAGAAGTAGGTTTGATAATGCTGTGATATTTCAAATGTTTATTCAACACAAAATGCAGCAATTATGACACCTGGCTTTTACTGCTGGAGAATTGAAGACCTATATTTCTAGGGAGTTGGACCTAACAGGGTGCTCTAACACTTTTTATTATTCAACCAGAATGCTGAATCTGTGGCACAGCCACCAGTTTTTCTATCTAAAAAAAAAAATTTTATCATTCTCTTATATGTAGGACATGGAGAGGAATGTAGTAAAATGGAGACTTTATACTTTTAATTGCTTAGAAATAAAGTACGTCATTCAGAGACCTTACACTTAATATCTGTTTTTATTTGCAATTTTCACAGCGTCGTCTTGGAGATGCAGCTAAGAAAGCCATCAGTAAATTGACAACCAGGACAGTAAAGAAGGGTGACAAGGTACTGTAATGAACTAACTTTAGCACTGTAAAAATAATCAGACAGTTTTGTTTTTGTTTGGTGGGAGAGGACACACCCTAATTGTTTACATTTCATTTGTTAGATTTTCTCCCAACTATACTACCTAATGCTTTATTTTAAACTACTTTCTTACAGTAACTCTAGCTGTGTTTTCCTACAGAGTTTTCTTCTGCTAAAACCTAGCATACATTTTCAGAGAATTCTAGTGAGACCATTTGTGCGTTAAAAAGCCAGGAGGTGTGTGTTTTCTTCCTATACTTCCTGGGACTTTGCTGTGTCTCTTGTTTTATTTTTTCACTAATTACATGGAGAATTGAAGACCTGTATTTCTAGGGAGTTTCACCTAAAAAGGGGCTCTCTTTACAATGGGTTGAGCAGTTTGAAAGAAGAGCAAAGTGTGTCAGGGTCATCGCTGGTGGCTTGGAGGACCGGGGAGAGAGGCAATGTCAGGCTGCTGTGGTGGAGACCTCTGACTGACATCCCCCTCTCAGAGCTCTAGTTACGGTAGAGCCCTGCTTCTCCGCTAGAAGGACACAGCTGCACCTTAGTGCTGCCCCTACATTCAGAGTGTTCAAGGTTTTCTAGAATGGGAAAATGGAATCTCAAAAGGCATGAAACCAAAACTGTCTCCTGCCCCACACCCAATTCTAATATTTAAGCACAGAGTTGGGCCTGGAAGAATAATTTCATATGATTCTCTGTCTTCCTAAGTTTTACCAGTTTCTTGGACTTTACCCATTGTATTCCCATTGCCTTGATACCACCGTATCTAGTTGCCTTTGAAACAACTTCAGAAGGTGGAGACATTCTTAGTGAACTTTATTGTGCACCAAGGAAACAGAAAAGGGGGGAAATCACTCAAGAAAATATAAGTAGCATCAAAACAGCTTGCATTTCAGTGGCAGAGGAGTGGTAACCAGTGTAACAGTGTAAATGTGTTCTTGGCCTGGTGGCCTCAGCTGCCACATTAGGATGAAATTCCCTGGAGCGGATTTAACCTACCCATCTTACATTGTATCCCAGGCCAGCACAGTTATTTCCTTTAATTATTAAAGCCAATTCATCTTAGTTTGTACCTGCTAGACCTGGCAAGAGTTGTCCACTGAGTTTCAGTCCAAGTGACAATGACATGGCAAACAGTCTGTTTTCCTGGCTTATGGCGTGTTTTGTTTTATGACAACTTTTGCAAAACCCCTTCTCAGTCCTAGGAGGAAGGAATTCAATTAATTTGGTGTCTAAATACCTGGCTGACTCTTTCTCACTCTTGATGAAGACCAAGTATTGAATTGAGCCAGTGACTCTTCTCCATCCCCAATCTGTGACCAGATTCACAGCTCCCATTTTTGGGGTGGGTTTCTAGACAGCAGTCTGCTAGGACTCGACTCACCATCTTTCCTGTCTGTACTTAGGTGTGTCTTTAAGTGAGCATCCTGGTGAGCTTCCAGACTGTCAAACATAGCAGTGAAACCTCTTCAGACCAATCAGTAGTACAGGAGCAGTGAGGGATGGGGAGATCATGATGGTCCAAGCTGATTCTAACCTTGAAAAAATTAGAATTACGACTTAATTTTTGTAAGACATATCATAAACAGAATTAATACAGATTGTTAAAATTTTAAAAACAAAATAGATTGGCTTAGACATAATTTGGGCCAATATAGTTAGGCAAATAAAAACAAATTAATTTTAATCATTTTTCACTTTATAACACTTGCTTACCATAGTAGCCACAGAAAGATTCTGAGCTGAATCGCATCCCAGCCATTTGTCTACTTGCAGCATGTGACTTTTGTTTCTGTACTTTTCATTTTAGGAAACTGACCCAGACTTTGATCATTGCGCAGTCTGCATAGAGAGCTATAAGCAGAATGATGTCGTCCGAATTCTCCCCTGCAAGTATGTCAACTTCATTTGTTTGAAAAAGAATGATATTAATGTGCTTTGTATGCCTCCTTTTAAGAGTGGGCATCTCCCTTGCTTTTGAGTGCCCCCCACCCCGTGGCTTTCTGGAGGCCACGTCTGCTGTGCGTTGCTGGCCATGGGGCTGTGGCCGGCAGGGAGTGGTGCTGCTCAGCAGGTGCAGGCTGCACAGCCTTCCTAGGTGTAGCCAGTATGCGACGTGCACGTGGCCTCCGGACTCCCCAGACACAGCCTAGGAGTGTTGAGGTTGAGAATTCTTGTTCTGTGGTTTCAATCGTCTTTTTTTTTTTTTTGAGACGGAGTCTCGCTCTGCCGCCCAGGCTGGAGTGCAGTGGCCGGATCTCAGCTCACTGCAAGCTCCGCCTCCCGGGTTCACGCCATTCTCCTGCCTCAGCCTCCCGAGTAGCTGGGACTACAGGCACCTGCCACCGCGCCCGGCTAGTTTTTTGTATTTTTTAGTAGAGACGGGGTTTCACCGTGTTAGCCAGGATGGTCTCGATCTCCTGACCTCGTGATCCGCCCATCTCGGCCTCCCAAAGTGCTGGGATTACAGGCTTGAGCCACCGCGCCCGGCCTTCAATCGTCTTTTTACGTTTGTTTTCTTTCTTTCTTTCTTTCTTTCTTTCTTTCTTTCTTTCTTTCTTTCTTTCTTTCTTTCTTTCTTTCTTTTTCTTTCTTTCTCTCTCTCTCTTTCTTTCTTTCTTTCTTTCTTTTCTTTCTTTCTTTCTTTTTCTTTTTCTTTTTTTCTTTTTCTTTTTCTTTTTCTCTTTCTTCTTTTTCAATCAGAGTCTCACTCTGTCACCCAGGCTGGAATGCAGTGGTGCAATCTCAGCTTACTGCAAGCTCCGCCTCCTGGGTTCAAGCAATTCTCCTGCCTCAGCCTCCCGAGTAGCTGGGATTATAGGTACCCACCACCACGCCCCGCTAATTTTTGTATTTTTAGTAGAGACAGGGTTTCATCATGTTGGCCAGGCTGGTCTCGAACTCCTGACCTCAGGTGATCCACCAGTCTCAGCCTCCCAAAGTGCTGGGATTACAGGCGTGAGCCACCTCACCCGGCCTGTTTTCTTTAAAGATGGGGTTCTTGCTCTGTTGCCCACAGCTGAACATGAACTCCTGGACTCAAGCAGTTCTCCTGCCTTGTCCTCTCAGAATGTTGGGATTACAAGTGTGAGCCACTGTGCTCGGCATTGATTTGTGATTCATGTAGGTTTCAAACACAGTCCCTTGTTCCTATCCATCTTAGACTACATCGCTAGGCCCTTCAGTGAGACTTCCATCGAGCTCACATGGCTCTGGGTACAACAACTCCGGGGACTTGGATTAAATATTTTTCTAAACCTGGATTATGCAAAATGGAGAGAACTGATACCTGCTTTGTGCCTGCTGTGGTTTAGGTGCTCTGCTCTGAGCAGACTATACTCACCTTCTCCTATAATTCTCTCAGCAGTCCTAAGAGGGTGTTTTTTCCCCGTTGTACAGTGAAGGATGGTGAGCCAATAGCAGGTTCCAGGGTTGCACATTCAGAAATGGCAGAGCTGCGTCAAGGCCTGCCTTTAATGTCGTGCTCCCCACATAGGACCCAGGCTTCCCCCTGTGAGGAGAAGATTCACCTGTGCCTGGGTGCCCTGGAAACAGCATGTTGGTTTCTCCCATGGCTCCTCTCGAGCTGGGGAGTATGAAACCAAGATACACAGTTCTGAGTGTCAATTGGATAAATAGGAAATCACCTGCCAAGAAGCCTAAAACCAAAGAGTTTGCCTCTTCTCCCGTCTATTTAAAAGACATCCACACAACTCCAGCCTTATAATATGGAGCATGTGAATTAATAAAATAATCGTGAGTTGTTACCTCCATGAGGCTACTGGTCTTATTTTACTTACAAAGTATCTATTTTGAGTCTAGGAAAATTTGTTTTTTTAAAAAAAAAAATAAAACTGAAGAAGAATTACATCTACTGAAACAGAAATCCAAGATTCTAGAAGTCAAGTCATTCTAGTTTATGTATAAAGGAAAATCTATAAAACTAAATGTAGGCTGTCCTATAGAAAATTAAACTATGGAACAACCAGTCTCCCTTCACATGCAGTCACTGATGGTCTAAACGTGAGGCTAAAGGAAATGCACACGCAAGTGCCAATCAGAAGAAGGGCCAGCGGGACACAGGGAGGTGTCATCCACACTTGCCTGCTTCAACACTGGAATGACCGGAAGAAGCCAAGGCTCTCCACATTCTGTCTTGCTATTTCAGCCCAGGATCCTCTAGAACCATATGGTACCTAAAAATGAGGGACTCCAAAACCATTCCAGGGCATTACTAAAATGAGGGGGTCCTCAGGAGAGGCTCGGCCTAAAGTAGGTTATTCTGGGGGCTTCATCCCATTATCTTCATCCCTTCAGTGTTGACTTTTCCACAGTTTCATTTGGAGTTACCTTTTTCCTTTTGTATGATTTTTATTTTTTGTAGAGTTGGGGTCTCACTGTGTTGCCCAGGCTGCTGTGAACTCCCGGCCTCAAGTAATCCTCCCACCCTAGCATCCTAATGTGCTGGGATCACAGGCGTGAGCCTGACGTCTGTCCCTCTTCTTAAAATTTAGTTCAGCGCTTTCCAGATGTGACTGTGCATCAGAGTCTAGGAGGCTTTCAGAAACATCCCGAGTGGAGGCCAGGCGTATGCACTTATATTATAAGTTCCTGCCCGATTCTGATGCTGCAAGGCCACACCCTCCAGCAAGGTCCAGGCCATGGTTGATCTGAACCATTTCTGCAGCTGCACCTGCCACCATAGAAGTGGTTTGTGTTTGTGGTCTGCTTATGAGTGTTAGAATTTTTGGCATACTTCTTTCGTTGCACCCTCTATGGTACTGTCACTCGGCTGTCTTTCAGTACTGGGTCATTGTGTTACTATCCGTGCTCACTGCCCTGGCTGAGTGTAGAGTTTTCCCTGTTGCTGTGGAACTGAGCGGCTGTTTGTTCCTCTGACACCCCCTGCGTCACCAAGCTGTAACTTTCCCTAGACTGCACCGCACAGCCTGCTCAACACAGCACCCCATTTCACTGCCACATAGCAACAGTGCAATTATCAGCTGTAGTGCAAATTAACTTTATACATCAAGCAGTACTTGTGACAGTCTTTAACCTAGAGCAGCATTTCTCCACCTTGGCACTGTCGATGTTTGGGACCAGGTCATTGTTTGGGGGTGTGGGCATTGCAGTGTCCTTGGCCTCTACCCACTAGGTGTCAGTAGCACCCACCCACACACAGTTGTGACAACCAAAGCTGCCTCCGGATGAGAACCACTGAGCTGAGGATGGCTGTGCGCCTCTTCAAGCCTCTCCTCAGCAGATGCCACTCACAGAGCTGCGCCTTCGCTGTCGCCAAGCTGCCGCTTACAGAATTCCTTCTGCCTTGGGACGCCTCCCCGCCCCGAGTGTCTTTGAAGCCAGAGTCAGTGTCACCTGCTGTGGCTCTCTGTACCTCATGTTGCTAAGCGGTTCTGCTCCCTCACCATCCTCCCAAGGGACTGAACTGACTTGGCAGGGCCTGCCTCTGCGCAGAGCCCTGCCCCCACCTGGCTGGCATCCCACGTTCGTCACAGCAGCACCTGCAGGTGTGTTCACTCTACTTCAGCACCTTAACTCACACGCTTACTCTCCACTCTCAGAGGACCCCTTCACCATCGACTTCCCAGAGGAAGCAATGGGTGGAATTCCTCGGCCTGCTGACCCGGGCACTCAGGCTGGAGAGGCCGTCTGCTGTGGTCCGTGCCGCTCCTCCCTGCGCCGCTGCGTGCCTGCTCTCTCCCTTCCTCAGGGTCTCGTTCTGTTGGCTGGCTGCTCCTTCCAGTGTTCTGTCTCCACTCGCCGGCATCTCGTCACACTCGTATTTCCCAGTCCAGTTTTTAAAACTGTCTTTCAAAGCCATCACCCTCCAAGTACCGCCCCACAGCCTCTCCTGTCATACCTGCCCACTGCCTCTCCTCCGTGAGGGAGGGAGATGGGCCTGGACACCTTTGTGTCCATCTTAACAATTCACAAGCTCAGGTAGGGCTTTCTATCCAGAACTGTCCAGCCTCTCAGGGATTGCCTGCTTCTTGCCACATGACCTTTCCTTTTCCTCTTCTGTCGCACTGTTTACTGTGGACAGGTGGCAGCTGGCATGGTGGAGGGGCCTCCTCCTCGGCTCAGTGATCACAGCTGATTCTCCCTTGGATGTTAGCCAGCAGGTCTTAGAAACTGAGGAACTGGTCACCTCGTCTTATTTAGACCTCTTAAAGGTTAGTCATAGGAGCTTTTAGTAATTAGAAGTACTTTTTCAGAAGTGGAGTGCTGCAGCGTGGATGGATGAACGGATGTTTCCGTGCCACTTTGGGAGCTAAAGCGGGGGGCCGGCACTGCAGATGTCTGAGGCTCCACTGCAACGGAGGGTCTGTAGAGACGGTGACTGCTGCCAGCCCCAGCATGTCTGAGGCACCACTGCAACGGAGGGCCTATGGAGACAGTGACTGCCGCCAGCCCCAGCTAGCAGAAGAGAGTTTCTGTCTGTGACCTTTAATAATTCTGCATCCTTTTATATTTGCCAGGTTCTTAAACGGCACCAAGAGGCTGCAGAGCTGTGAGAGCAACTCACCTTCCTCCCACAGAGCCTCCCCTCCCACAGCGCTCTTCCACTCACTCTAGTTTATGGCATGTGTGGGACATAGGAAAGGGGAGGGCACTGAATTTCATTATTGCTGGGTTTGTTCCTTTCATGTTTGTTTCTCATTCTGTATCCCAAAGTATTTCTCATAGGAATAAAGGACTTGTTGAAGTTCGGTATGCTTGTGCTTTTCATGTTTCACTGTCCACATGTTACCTGCTTTCTGTCCCAGTGCACCACCCACCCACCCTATGTGTGGCGGGCCTGTTCTGCATTCATGTGTGTTTTTATCACGTGAGTGGGGAGCTTATTTTCAAGGCCCCACTTGCCCCAGGTGTGTCTTTCTGAGGCCTCCTGGGTGTCCATGGAGCACCTTCCACAGTGAGAGCCCACAGCCATAGTGAGGGCGAGCATGTTTAGGCGTGCAGGAGTGTGACCAGTTGGTGGGGCTGCTCTGCCCGTGTGGTGGCCCTGCATGTGCTCAGCCTTGGCACTTCTCTGAGTGGTCCACACGCTGTGTTGCATTGACTGCTCCAAACACCTCCCGAGGTAGATTAAACGCCCCGGCCCAGTCCTTAGCTGAGAGCTCTGCACGGCAGAAAGGTGGTTTGCCAAGCACCACACCGGTGTAGCAGAACTTTGCCTAGAAGGGAAGGAAAGGCATGGTGAGTTCAGTGAAAGTTGCACTGAAGAGACCAGCAGGAGGGTTAGACAATGGGTGATGGGGGACAAAGTACCGCATTCAGAGCAGCTGCCTGTGGAGATAGATCACAGAAGAGACAGGAAGGAGAGAAGGGCCGTGGGTGAAGAGAACAGCCACCCAGCTTTGTTAGTGAAAGTGAGGGATGTGCCGTGGGAATTTGAGACTGAAGATCTCTGGGTGAGTTGCACGGAAGCTGGACTAGTGGGGAATTTGGAAAGATAATTAGGAAGGAAGGGTGTTTAGTGCTCTGAGGTAGGGGTCAGGGGTAAGAGAGAGATGGGGTGGATGGAGAGCCCAAAGACCAGAAATATTTCAGGTTTTCAGTTAGCTAAAGAAGGAAGGTTTTCTAAATTTGTCGCCAGAGAACCAGTTGGTCTTTTTTGTTTTTCTTCATAGTACCCTACAGCCTAAAGGAGAAATTTTTAATTGTTTAGTAAAACAGAGGGGCGGACACTTCTTTTATATCAGTAATCCTGGAAAGAAACAGTTACTGAAGAACCCAAACATATTTGTAACTAATTTCAGGTTAAAGAAACAGGCAGAGAACACTGAACTCATGCAGCTTTAAAAAGAAAATACAAGGATTATACCATTTGCTTCTTTCAGAATAAAGACAGACAGGACAATCAGAAAAGGGAAAAGCAAAAACGCCCCAGTAGGGAGCACCAGGACCACACCTCTATCCCCCCAGGTGGCTGCTGCGGCTTTACCGGGTCTCCACCAACAGTTCAGCAAGCCCAGCCACCCCCCAACCCCATCTGGATACCTCTCACTTCTGTACCAGAGCCCCAATCAGAACACAGCACCTAGGCCTCCCCCGACCCCCAGCGGGATACCTCCCATTCCTGCACCAGAGCCCTGATCAGAGGTCACAGCACCATATCTCTTCTGTTACCTATCAGTTGGCCAAGTCCCATCATCCGCCCTGTGTAGGCCTGACCTGCAGCACCTCCGGCCACCCCACCCTAGTGCTAACCCACTGCACAGGTCATACCCCTCCTGAACATGTGTGCAAGGTACCAGGCATTTGCGTCCGTGTGACTTTCTAGAGGGAGATTCTGTAATTTATATCAGATCTAAGGGAGTTTGTATTCACCAAAAGGGTTAAGAAGCCTGTTGTGGTCTTTGCTGGTCAGCAGCCAGCATTAGTGCAGTTGACCCCTGCTGGAAAGGCCAGGCTGGCCCTGGGGACACCCTGTAGTAAGGAACCGCGCCACACACACAGGCTACGAGGAATAAGACATGATGCCTTAGGCGTACTGAATGTATTTGGGGCTTACCTATGGATTGGCGGGTTTCCAGCCCTTAAGTAAAAGCTTTAAGGTTTAAATAAATGCCTTGGGGGTGATGGTTCTGGTTATTTCATTGTCTGCGAATTTAAGACTAGACTGACAAATCCATTCTTCAAGATCTTTACTCTTGTCCCCAAAGAAATGAGCGTAAGGCCGTCAAACAGTGATAGGCAGACATGTGTGTATATTGTTCAGGCCGAAGTTGTAAGTTGTAAGCATGAACGTCTGTTCCAGATCCCAACAGAAACGGAGTTTTCTAGACCTCTTTTTTATAAATCAAAACTGCATTTTAAAACAGCTATAAACAACATTAACTTGGAAATTGACAATCAAAGTTGTAAAGGTATACCGTGGTTCACTTTGGCATCTTACTCAAAACTTTCTTTTATCTTATCCCAAACTCAGATTAGTGTTTCTTCCAAAGCTGCCCTGAATGTCTGTCCTGGCACCCACCTTCTCCCTGTTTGGCCAGGACTCTAGGGCTTCGGAAAACTGCTGGGCCAGGTGCTAGAGCTTGAGAAGTAATTTCTGCAGCTCCTGCAGTCTTTCTTCCCTTCCAGAGGGCACAAGTTCCTTTTTTTAAGAATGCAAAACCCTCTGACTGACTTATTTCCAGTTACAAGGCTGTGGCTTTCTACTTTCTTCAGTAAGAGAGAAAATCACCCATCCTCCCCCTTTAACATTTCAGCTGAAAATTGCTGTGTTACTTGAATCTAGGCACAGTTTACCCCTTAAAATAGTTTCAACTTCCCTGTAGCTTTTATAAACATTCAACACAAATTGCTCAGAAGTTTTTAAAAATGACATTCAAACAGGGTTCCATAAAACTAATAACTATACAGAGAACTCTTTTCATTTAACCATGATTTAATATCTTTTTGAAATTCCATTTTTCTATGTTAGCTATTGTAGAAAGCATAACTGGTTTATAAAGTGTGATTGTTTTCATTCTTAGTAAATTTTCTAAGTTTCCATTAGTCCTTTTTGGAATTTGGTAAAATAAAAGGTCCAAACAATCAGATCCTACTTACTAGTTCTTCCACAGTGTTGTACATATAAGGTTGGGTTCAGGAGATTTTCTGCAAGCTATATTTTAATAAATTCCCAATATTTGTCTCTTGGGGCTTAAAATATGTTCTGAAAGGGGGGAAAACAGACTAAAAATTCCCTTTGTTTCCATTTTGGCCTAATAAATTTCTCGGTGTGTAATTTGTGACATAACTCTGCATTATTTTATAGGCATGTTTTCCACAAATCCTGCGTGGATCCCTGGCTTAGTGAACACTGTACCTGTCCTATGTGCAAACTTAATATATTGAAGGCCTTGGGAATTGTGGTATGTTTCCTATTTTATTTGTTATCACTTTTATGTATTATTATATGTATGTGTAATAAAGTATAACACAATTGGCATAATAGGAGGCGTGACTAAGACACACAAGAAAACACTGGCTATATTTGCCATGTAACCATGTAAGCCCAACAGGACCTTTTTTCCAGATTACTGAGAAGTCTAACCCATCTCAGAGAACTCCTGGAAGAGAAGGTAAATAACTGTACTAGTCCTTTTTTTTTTCTTTTATTAAATTTAAGAGACAAGGTTTCACTCTGTGGCTCAACTGCAGTGTAGTGGTGCAGTCATAGCTTACTATAACCTCGAACTCCTGGGCTCAAGCAGTCCTCCCACCTCAGCCTTCTGAGTAGCTGGGACTACAGGCACACACCACCATGCCTGGCTAACTTGTTTTTGTTTTGTTTTTTTTGAGAGGGAGTTTCGCTCTTGTTGCCCAGGCTGGGTACAATGGCACAATCTTGGCTCACTACAGCCTCTGCCTCCTAGGTTCAAGCGATCCTCCTGCCTCAGCCTTCTGAGTAGCTGAGATTGCAGGCACCGGTCACCACCCCCGGCTAATTTCTTGTGTTTTTAGTAGAGACAGGGTTTCACCATGTTGTCCAGGCTGGTCTCCCTGACCTCAAGTGATCCACCCGCCTCAGCCTCGCAAAGTGCTGGGATTATAGGCATGAGCCACCATGCCTGGCCACTTTTTTATGTTTTGAAGAGACAAGATGTTCAGGCTGGTCTCAAACTCCTGGCCTCAAGTGATCCTCCTGCCTCAGCCTCCCAAAGTGCTGAGATTGTAGGCATGAGTCACCACACCTGGCATGGTCCACTTTTAAAAGTGTGCTTCTGTTGGGTGAGGAGTATGAGATGAAGAAAGAGAGAAGGACATGATTTTTCTTCATTCCAACATCTTTTTTTAAAAGGTAGGCTGTATGCTGTTGACTCTGTTCCAGTCGTAATCTCCTCTGTGCTTGGCATAATATAAAACTATGTTCTTTAGCCTGAAGTTTGACTTTGATCTCTTGGGGGTTGGTAAGTTGCAAGCAGAGAAGGCAGACAGTGCCTGAAGCCCAAGGAGAACTGTTGGCAACCATAGCCTGGCAGGGGCCGTCGCCAGGTGTGCCAGAGTCCAGCTGTGGCAGGTGCCAGGTCAACACTGACTTGAGTAACCAAGGACCTTGGTTAGTCCTTGCTTAAGAGAAGCATGTATATCCAGGGTTATGCTTTTTTTATCAGAAAATAACATAGTTTCTGGTCTCAAAGAATGAAAGAATAATCTCCCTATGGAACAAAAAGTTTAGTTTGATCCAACAGATGAACTCATTTTAGCTTGCAACCCAAAGAAGATCGAAGTCATCTTATTTTAAATATACTGTCAAACACAGTTTCAGTGTATACAGTTGGGCAGTAATACCCCATTTGTCCTTTGTCTCCAGAGATCATGTCAGTGGTGATGCCATTTAACATGGGATTACTGAAAGTATTGGGTGTTACTGACACCATGGACTGGATAATCCCTTCTTGTTGGGGCTGTCTTACTGTGTCGCCCAGGCTGGAGTGCAGTGGCGTGATTCTCCTGCCTCATCCTCCCGAGTAGCTGGGACTACGGGTGCCTGCCACCACGCCCGGCTAATTTTTTATATTTTTAGTAGAGACGGGGTTTCACCGTGTTAGCCAGGATGGTCTCGATCTCCTGACCTCGTGATCTGCCTGCCTCAGCCTCCCAGTGTGCTGGGATTACAGGTGTGAGCCACCATGCCCAGCCTGTTTGTTAAGTATATTAAGTGCTAATACTTTTCTCCTCTGTTTATAACAAAAATCCTTCTAAAATGTATTGTAGGTTATCATGGATCCTTACATGTAATGAACATAAAAAAAACCTCTTCTAACTGGGTATGAGTCTGAGCATCACTTAGTACACTGTGTTTTGCTTTTTTTAAAATAAGGCTTTGAGATGACCTGAAACGGTTCTTTTGCCCAAAAAGCCATTGGTTCCAGGTTTGCTTGGCTGAAACTTCTCTCTAGAAACATATAAACTTCTCACAGCCATCCCTCCCAGCTCTGCTTCTCATGTGCGGCCTGCTGCTGCGTGCTGAGAGAACCAAAGGTTGTTAGGTAAACCAAACATCCACACTGTTACAATGGAAGACTTTTGGCGCTCACTTTTTAATTGGTAGACTTTGGCCCTAAGCAGCTCTATACCTCTCCCTCAGGATTAGGTGTTTAGGTTTTGAAACAGATGATTTTCGTATAGTTCAAAAGTCTTTTCAACTTTGACCTCCTCTTGGTTTGATGCTTTACTTGTGTTTAAAGGCAGACGATACCTAAAAACTGACTGCCAGAGAAATGGGGCTTCGGAGAAGTTAGTAGGACGACAGAGGTGTTATCTGTTACCTGGGATTCTTCAACACGGACATTTACCATGAAGTAAAGTAACAGTTTACAGTTTTAAACTGGATGTTTGGTGTCTTTATGTTAATGATTACGACTCCCTGTGCCTGCGGGCCATGACCAGTTTTCTCTGATCTGCAGTGAATTTTGGTTTTCCTTTGTACCATTTCTGAGAAGAGATCTCTGTGCCTTTTGAAGAAAAACTCTTAGGGTGAGAGGAGAGGAGTAGGTAGGTGGGCAGATAAATGAGAGGATATCACAGGGAAATAACTTAATAAGGTCTTTGCAACAGGGCGTCAAACTTTAGAATCTTACGAAAGGATTTGTTTTCCTTACAATTATTTTTAACCTAGAAATATTTTGCAGCCGAATTTGCCATGTACTGATAACGTAGCATTCGATATGGAAAGGCTCACCAGAACCCAAGCTGTAAACCGAAGATCAGCCCTTGGCGACCTTGCCGGCGACAACTCCCTCGGCCTTGAGCCACTTCGAACTTCGGGGATCTCGCCTCTTCCTCAGGATGGGGAGCTCACTCCGAGAACAGGAGAAATCAACATTGCAGTAACAAGTAAGTGGGGGCCTCCGCTCAGGCACAGGGCATGTGGCTGCCTCTATGGGCATTCGGGACCATCAGGAGAGTCAAGGCACTCGCCTCAGCCTGCAACACAGACTGTAACCAAGAAAGGGATGTGTGTTTCTGTTAAAACAGGTATTTGGAAGAATGAAACTTTATTTATGATAAGTAGCTGGTGTGTTTGTGTATAATTAATAGGAATAGCTGCATTTGATGAGTAGCTGTTGAGGTCTGTCTTAGTCGCTGTATTATAAACCTTGTTTTGAAATCATTGCCTTACAAACAGGCATTTAAAAGGAGATGTTGGAAGGTGTCACAGGCCCCCAGCAGCATTGCTGGTGTGTTGTATGCTGTGAGCGCTGGTGTTCTCCACCTCCAGGACTACAGGCTACTTAGTGGGAAACTCATCTATAATTTGAACCTAAAAATTCACAGTTCTTGGAACATAGCCTGTTGCGCACTTTATTTTAAGTTTTTTATGGAAGTTTGGTCTCTTGGCACTTAACTCTTTGGTATAATTGTACATGAGGTAGGAGAAAAGCCAAAGGACAGTCTGCCTGAAAAAAAATAGCGTGAGCAAGTTATGAAAATCTTCACATTGCACTGTCGACAAGCAGGAAAGAAATGCCGAGTATTTTGATGGCAGTGCCTGAGGACGGTATGAGTGAGCTGACGGCGTGTGTGTGGGCCTCACAGGCATTCACCCCTCAACAAGCCAGCTTTTCTCTTCACTTCCATTCTTTACATGTTGTTTTCATCTAACAACCTTTCACCCATCTTCCTTGTTGCTGCTCTGCTGTTGCCTTTTCCAGTACCTGCTGCTGCTTGCCTAGAGCGTCAGACCCTGAGGCTGGTGGGACCCCACTCCACTCTGGGAGTCAGTGAAATGGATGACACTGTTACAAAATGTTTTCTCCTTTACATATTAAGACTTGTGTGGTCTGTTCAATCAAAGTATTCATGTTTTTAACCAACCAGACATTATTGTTAGAAAATGGTTCCCCAGGTTTTATTCTGTCATCTGTCTACACTCAAGAGAGCCCTCATTCAGTTATGCAATAGGGAAAACTATGCTTTGAGCGTAGTTTGGCTCATTTCTCACCATCTCTCAGTGATTCATTTTGATAGCATTTCATGGTTTTTCTTTGGTGTTTAGGTTTTGTGGTCTACAGTTTTAAAACTTGATTGAGTAGCAATAAAGAACACAAAGGTTGTTGGTTTATTAGTGAGTTTTTCAGGTCCTTCATTGATCAAACATTTATTGAGCACCTACTACTTACTACATTAAATACTGATCCCATTATATTTTATATAGAAATGTCCTTTCAAAACCTTATGCTTTGATGATACAAAAAATTACTTCATGTACCAAATGAATCATCTTTAGCAGAATTTACACGATGTTAATAAATAAAATTCATGTGATTGAACTAAACCACAGCTACCTCTGCTTTCCCTCTGAAGCTCTGTAGCACCATAGCAACCACAATGCATCCAACTGGCACCCACTGTGTGCAAGGCACTGTGCTAAGTAGGCACTGGGGGCAGAGGTAGCCAGGCCTGCTGCAGGGGGGCACTGTGGAAATGCCACCAGCATATTGGGTGTTTTATGATGGTGTCTACTTCCTTTTGTTACAAGTTTTTAAAATTGAAATCACACACACACACACAGACATGCAAATATGGGATAGTATACTCAGAATTTGGAAACATAGATGTGACAAAGTTCTACAAGGTAGTCTGCGTATCATATGTAAAAGTCTCCAAGAAGAAAAAAGAGGATACTGTGTTAAGTTCCTTGATGGTGATGGCATTCGGCTCTTGATTTTTTTAAATGCCATATACATTTTCCCTAACTTAAAACATTACAGGTAAAAATGGTGGGTTTTATATGTGTTCTTGAACGTTCATGCTGATTAAATAAAAAGCTTCAATCTACTGATGAGGAAGTTTGTAGTTTGAGAGGCAGTGGCTGTACTGATGTCTAAACAGTAGGGGTTTTCATAACATAAGCTAAGGTGGGCAGAGAAGTGCTCATAGAGCACACTCCGGACCCGGAAGTCCTCCAGAGCAGTGCTTCGTGACCTTCTGAAAGTCACCACATTTAAAATCTAACAAAAGTATGTTTTTCTAGAAAAAGGCCTAGGCACACACAGTTTTGCATGCGGGGTTAGGATTTGTGGAACCCAGATTGAGAAACACACATGTTATATACAGCTTGTGCATAAAATATTTGGCAGTCCACGTGTAAATAGTTCTCTCTTCCTTCTTGCAGATATATAGGTAATTTTATTGTGTAACAGTTTGTTAAAAAAGCCCTAGTCAGTGTACTCTAAGAAATATTTTAGAGTTAAGACTTTTTAGCAAGTCAGATCGGTTCTTAGGTTGTTTTTGAGGTTCTCAATAAATACTGTTTTTAAAATGTTACCTTGACAACATTGGCTCTGAAAAAGTAAGGGAAAATATCCGGATGGAGAGAGAGAGACAGGCTAGATGAAAATCCTTAGAGTTGTAAGCACCAAAGGTTTCCAGCTCTTTGGTGGCCAAGTACCCGGTCAGTCCCCCGCCCTTCCTACTTCTGCGTGTCACAGCCTGGACAGCCAGTGCTGCTCCTCGGCAGTGGGGTCGGGAAGAGCAGTTTCTGGTTTCTTGAGACACCCAGTGAGATGTTCTTTTTACATAAATATCCCAAGTAAGCCCATGCGTAAGAGAGAAAAATGTAGCCATGGATGCCATGGGAGGCCGGCTCGCAGACTGCTGGGAGCACCCACAGGACCTGGAGAACCGCTGCTCCGTGCTCCTCAGCCTTTGACTAAGAATGAAAGCCATGCAGAAATGACAGAATGAAGAAGGAAAGAAGGTTATAAATATGCTTAGTCTGCTTTACTGCCATTTACATGAACAATGAAAAAAATCTATGTCCATGTGCAATTTTATATACATATTTTCACCATACACTTTTTGGTGGCTACACTGCTCACAGACCTCAGGACCTAAATGGAAGAAACGGTTGGGCCATGCTTTCCTTTCTCCCTTGCAGCTTTCACCAGTACTCCACTAACCTTCTCCAGTTAGTAGCTCTCTGGCAAACCTCCTGCTTCACCTCCTTGGGCCAGTCTTGGCTTACACCTCCGTTGACGTCTGCTTCGTTGCATTTGAGGGAAATGTTGGCATCGATTTGACTTAAACCTTCTCCCCAGAGTGATTTCCTCCCTTTCCTTTGTCAACAGAAGAATGGTTTATTATTGCCAGTTTTGGCCTCCTCAGTGCCCTCACACTCTGCTACATGATCATCAGAGCCACAGCTAGCTTGAATGCTAATGAGTAAGTAACAAATTGTTTTTTGGATTGCATGTGCCAGATGATCCCAGGAAAACACATGGAGCCATTTTCACGAAGGTGGTGAGGATTGGCTTTCCACCAGTTTCATACTGATCCTGATGGGATCATGTCTAGCAAAATACTTTATTTCATGAACATATATTTTTAGTCAGCAACACAGATTGGGAATCCACCTTATTCAACAAGAACAGCTCATTTGAGAAAAGATCCAGAGGTTTTCATTAGCCACAGGCTTAGAATGAATCAGCAGTGTAATGCAAATGGCAAAGGAACAGTATAGAGTGTAAAAGGCTGCCAGTGTCCTCATCGCTGACGGGAAGAGCCCCACTTTGTGTTCGTCACACTTACCTGGAGCCTTGCATGTCTAGCTTCTGGGGAAGCCCTGGCACCCATACCTGTAGTCAGGACCAGTGCTTCGGGTACTTGGCCTGCAGGAAAGAAGCAATTTAAAAGACCCGCTGTTTCCGGATATTAGGACAACTGTGAGGGGGAAGAGAAAATAAGTCTAAGCACTATCTCCATGGGCAAAATGACGACCAAAGAGCAGGCTTCGTGACTGCAGGCTTCACCTCGGTAAGAGGAAGGACATCTGTCAGTGAGGTTGCTTAGTGGCAGGATGGTTTGCTGTAGGGCATGCCCAGGACTGGGAATGCAGGCAGAGGCTGGATGTCGCTTGTCAGGGGTGCTGTAGTGAGGTGTTTTCAGAGGATGGAGGATTGGGCTAGATGACTGTTAAACGGTCCATTTTGATCCAGTGCTGTTCCAAGAGTAGTTTTCCGTAGGGATAAGGTATAGAAAGGGTTTTTAATTTTTGCTTTGTTTTGTTTTGTTCCAAATTTTGGACATTTACTGAGGATATCGTTCAGTCCTTCCTTTTACCAATATTCATGAAAACTAATTAGAGATGAAAGCACCCCGGTGCACTGCCCACATTTGAACCTCAGTTGGTATGGGTGGAATTCACATCATCTCTCTCTTCAATTATGTCCTGATACTTTAATTGATGAGTAATAACCAAACTACCTCATGCAGTTGATTTAATTGACTGCCCATTGTCTGGCTATAGAAACAATGGGCAAGTGGCCTCCACGTGCAGTGACACGTGTTACTCGATCTAAACCTGATCAGTGGGCCAGATACCTGCAAGAAGTGCCCGCTGGCATCCGTGAGCCCATACGTGTTGGGGCTCACAGACGTCAGGGTCAGGTGGCATTCCCCAGCCTTCAGAGGAGCACTGCACTGATCCAGCAGGTGAACCACTGGCTGCTGCTGTTGGCCACCCATGCAGTTTCCTTCAGCATGGCGCACCTAATTCCTTAGACTCTAGGGTCACACACACCTGGATTTGACTCTCAGCTCCTCCATTTTTCAGTTGTAAGACATGGGCAGTTATATTTATTTGAAGCTCCTTGTAGTCATTCATAAACAGATAATGCTAAGACCATATGGCAGGGTTGTTATGAGAATCAGCATATAAAATGCTTAGCACAGTGCCTGGTACATAAGAAGTGCTCAATAAATGTTAGCCAAGCCAATGCCACTGCAGTGCTATTGAAGTTCTGTTAGTAAGGTGGCCATCTGCCTTTATTGTCTGGGAATTGAATTGAATTTCTTCCATGAAATAGGACACAGAACCATAGTAACTCTGTGAG